AAGCTTACATTTCCAACCTAAGGTCAGGAAAATTACATAAAAAGTTTTACTACAAAGTCTAGACATGAGGAAGATTTCAGAGGAGAGGGAGGAAGCACATTGCAGGTGTCAGATAATCTAGTCTGATTATCTGAGCTGTGCTAGCTATAGGGGAACACTTACCCTTCAGTCCAGCTAGAAGTTAGCAGGGTAAGAAGGAACAAACCAGAATAACATAAAGACTAGCAACAAGGCTCAGGAAAGCAGACAGGAGTTCTAACCTAGCAGCTAAAGTTCTTGGGTTCGAGCAAAGATTGAACAAGAAAACTTAAATGAAACAAAACAAAAAAACAAGAAAACCAAAGCCAACCCCCTCCCCAAACCAACAGTAACCAAGGTCCCCCTAACTGTTGAAAGCTCTTCAAGTGGTAGCTAAGCTAGAACAATTCTCAAAAACATCCCACTTCAGGGATTTATGATGTGATTAACAGTTATTAGTTGAGAAACAGACATTAATATGAGACTCATTGCAAATGATATATCAAATAATCATTGACCAAATAGCAAAGCTTAAAATGCCCACTCCCCTCCCAGTCTTGAGAACAGAGGTACTGATCTTTACTGTTCCTCTAACACACACTGGACAGGGATCAGGTGTTTCAATGAGAGGCCACTTGATATAACAAATTGTGGCAACACTCAATTATAGATTTGGATGTCATTTCCAAAGTAAGCAACATTTGCCTTAAGAAATTAGAAAATTGTAAGTATTTGTTGTAAAGAGTTGTATAGGTAAGCACTGACAATTTTTTTAAGTTTTAAACAAAACAAAAAAAAAAAAGAGAGAGAAAATTAAATCAACAATAACACACACCAAAAAAACCACAAAAGAACAAAAAAGTTGTAAAGTTTGGTGGAACCCTCCCAAAATTATTTTAGAGTCACATAGAAACTAATGAATAGCAGGATCTATTTTTTTTCCAATTTTCCCAATTCCATATAAATATTCCACTCCACTCTTAGACGTGTCTTTTCATTTTGAAATCGAACTTCTGAAATTGCAAAAGAAATAAAGTCTGCACCCAGAAGTCTGTCAAACTGAATTTAGAAAGACCCAAATAAACTCATGATTACAGTCAAGTATCCCAAACTGTAAAATGTTCCATTCTCAAATTTCCCTTGAGCAGACAGCGACGTGACAAGACTGGAGTGTTTATTTTTCTCTATCCAAAAAACCTCTTGCATTTTTCTGTTAGCTTCCCTTTGCCATGTAAATACTAACATAGTGATTACAAAGCTAACTCATTAAAAAGTTCTTCATCATTCACTTGCAAGGACGGCAGCTACTTTGAGTAAATATTCAAAACTGGGGATTTAATGAGATGTGCACAGAATCAAGTATTTAACAATGATCCTTACCTTTTAGAAGTCAACAAAATCTTTTTAAAATGCAATACTTGATTGTATTTACTCCTTTTGTTAGAGTCTGTGACTGACAATGTTTGTGATGTGACAAAATAAACTGAGGCACAGACTGAGAAGCAAATGTCGGTGAAGGGTCAACACTTGCTATTTCTTACTATGTTGTGATTGTTTTCCATTTTTCTGTCATTTTGCTTCGCAGTACTGCTGCTGCTGCTGCTGCTAAGTCACTAGGTAACCAATTTGTCGCAGTCTTCCCGGGACTAAACAGTTTCTGGGACACAGGGCATTAATTGTTAGGATAAGGCAAGTTTCGGCAAATTTGGATTAGCTAGTTAGGATTCTAAGTATGAATAAACACTAAATCTGACTTAGTTAGTATAAATCTAAACCTAATCTGTTTAATAGTGAGGGTTTGAATATAAAGGTTTAAATTCAGTTTTGCAATAACCGTTACATAACTTCACTCTACGGCAGATTCCACTCAATATGATATATCCCCCACTCTCGGGAATTTTTGGGTTGTTTCGCACAACTACTCACTGACACCACAGAATGAAAAATTCTTGGATCCCGTTTGGATCTTTTTTGTGGGTTTTATACTTGACTGTAAGTGACTGGGGATCAGATACAGAAGTTTGGGTGGGTCAAATCCTGACTAGATTACGATGCTAGTTTCTAAAGTATGGGAACAGAGCCTCACTTTCTGGTACTCTGGCCACAGTTTTCATTAAGTGCCTGCACTAGCAATAGACAAAAGTCTGGAGTAGTTAAGGCTCTTTTTCAGGGGTAGTAGAGTAACCACGGGATTACTGGGTTTAACGCTAGTGGGTTGAAGATCCATGTAAGGAGCGTCATTGACTGCGGGGTCAGAAGCATACGGTTGTGCAAAGCGGGCACTGCACAACTCGAGAGGCACCGTTCACATTTTTATCTAGGGGAAAAGAGCCTCCTGAAGGGCACAATCTGCACGGCTGAAAGCAGTGGCCTCCTTCTTACAGAGCCTGGTGTGGGGGTACACCTCATGTTCTCTAGAGACCTTCTGTTGCCAGGCAGCGATGAGGAGGTAATAGAGAAGGGAGTGGCTCTGGCAGCAGGTGCTGATAAATCCCTGGCGCATGACATCCCTGACCTTTTCACTCACCTCCCAGCCTGCCTCACATGCTCTCGAGGGATGATACTACTTATCCTCATCCCCAAATTTTAACTCTCAGAATTCTGCTTTGGATGTTCTATTTAATAAAAGCTTCCTCTGTCAACTAGGATAGTAACGTACATCAACCTTGCGTGTATGCAAACAAATCTTCTAGCTGATGCCTACTGACCAGATTCTAATTTCATAGCTAAATGAATCCTACCCACAGAGGAAACTCTAAATCAAGAGCCCTAGTGTATTTCCATAAAGAGGCATGCATCCCCTTCAACAGCCTCTTTCAGTCATCACTTTTATAGAATCTGTGTCTGGTCTCCATTTCATTTTACCCCTGAATTTCCATTCTCTTTCCTATACTAGAGAGAAAAAAGTGGACTGATCACGAACCAAGTACTAGGTTCTTAATCTGGGGAGACAACAGAACAGAGACACTGAATGTAAGGTGAAATGACTTCAGAAGAAATGGAAAGTATTTGGAAATAAAACCAAGATTTTCCAAATATCACCTGTGATACATGTTTTATGAGGTTGATTTAGATGGTGATCATAAATTAGGCATTTGTTTCCTCATACACAGATAATTCCATCTCAGAGGGATATGATATGATGTGTTGTTTCAAGATTCATTTATAAGGAGTCTGTCAGGCCAGGTGAAAGAAGGGCTTCTATTACAGAGGAATTTTTATAATTAAGTTAATATTGGGGATGTTTTATTTCAACTAATGACTAAACCATTTACAAAGAGATGCTTCTTTTCTTTTTGCTCTCAGATAAAGTTAAGTGTCACAAATGTTACAGGAAAAAAGAATAGGAAACTTGGTGGAGGTCATGATCAGAAGGGCTATCCCTCCTTCCCTGAGCCCTTCCTCGACTTCTTATTTGTTTAGGGTTTTCTGTGTGGAAACCAGCATGATTGTGTGATTATTTACACTGTCCCATAGGGAAAGCATCTTCCTTTAAAAAAACCATCAGTACAGGACAAGAATCCCTGGCAGCACCTGATGGGTAGTATCTGTCATTCAACAAGAATGTTTCCCCACCAGCAAAGGTGTAACAAGATTTAAGAACACAGTCTGGTTAAATAAAAAACAGACATGGAAGTGGAATTCATCAGGAGGGAATTACCTCTACTTAGTTGCTATAGCGACAGAATTATGTGGTCCATGTTTTAAGAATAACTGAGGGGAGACTGTATGAAAGCCCTGGGTTCAAGGTCAGGTTTCCGATGAGGGATTTTCACACTTGCTTTCCCTTTTGTTGCGATTCTTTTCCCACAGATGTCTATGGGGGTAACTTCCTATCATTTGGGCTTAAGCTCAGATCATCTGTGTTATATTTCCTCTCTCCACTCTATCACCAATGCATGACGTTCTTTATGGTGTTTCTCAGTGTGTGAAACTATCTTACTATTTTTTTTTTTTTACTTGGTTTACTGTCTAGACTTCCCCACTGGGCTGGAGGTATCCTAAAAACAGGTATCTCCATGTCTTCCTCATCAACATGTCTCATCACCTAGACAACTGCTCAGTGAACTACACTGAATGAGGAAGTGCCATGCTAAAGACAAGACTCACCATGATTATTGCTAAAAACTGACGTGTACCTATCTATTCCTAATTGACCTGTATTCAGGGTATGGCAGACATCTTTACTTAGGGTGAATGCTTGTAACTGAAATAAATCTGGTGCTTTATGTTTCCAGTGTTTCCATTTTATTTGTTTCAATAAATATCTGCAAGAGCACGCTGTCTTTCATCTTACCCTGTGCATCCAACTTGTCCCAAGATCAAAACTATCTTGGTAGCAAGACGGCATGGTGAAAGGGCAAGAAATTAAAACTAATGCTAAACCTATAGGGAGGAGAGACTGGAATATGAACTGGGACTGTTTAAGAAGATGGTTTCATTTCTGGGTTCTGGTATTTTAGCTCAGAATGGGATTTTAGATACTGTGTTATTTTCTTGTGTGTGTTCCTGTGTCCCCCCATCCTTCCCTACTGCATGTGATAATGTCATCATTTATTTTTAAATGGTTCTAAGTTGCATATTAAAATTTATTCCAAATTAAGCTCTATTTTAAAGTTACTTTCGATAGGAAGAAATGAGGCAAGGACATACATAACCTACTATATTTGAAAGACTCAAACAAATACCTGTTTGGCTGTGAATTCTAAACTCTCATCAAAACAAAGAGGGAAAAATTCACCTGAAACATATTTTTCTTTGTTTAGTCCGGAGGAGGGGATTGTCAAGTATTGCACTTTAAAATTACTTTTATCTAACATTTTTGTCCCAACTCTCCCCCTTTGAATTAACTTTTTTTTTTTTTTTAGGCAAACATGATTTTGAGCATCCTTAATATGAAAGCAACTAGATTTTCTAATTCAACCTTAGAAGACTGACTTTACTCTACAGAACTAGTTTTAACAAATGGCATATTTACTTACAAAATTGGGAGATAGGGGCATCCAGCTGAGGCACATTCCCTCCCTTGGCGTTTAGTTTCTGGACTTGGGTTGGGGGCACAGGCTTGTGTGACTGCCCTGTGGCCCGATACATGGCCTGGACCCAGAGAATGCGATCTTGCTCATCATCACTTGCAAATATCACGGTGTCTCCTTCTTTGACTGCATTGAAGAAGGCTCGGCCACCCTCCAAACCTGGGTTAAAAGGGAAGAAAGACTAGTAAGTTGAGCTGCAATGTTTTCAGCAGGACTAAGCTCTGAGCAGCAGTCTCTATGCTTTTCCTTGGGCTGGAGAAAAGAGGTGCATCTCTTTATCTAACTATAGGATAGCAAGTCTGATACGATGATGTCCAAGAGGCATTTTGAGCCTGGCTCTTGTCTCCTGCCACCTTTGTTTTATTGGAGACAGAGTTGTCAACTGAACTGCCTAATGGCAGGGTAATTATTCATCTATAAACATACCTTTACTTTTCTATTTTAAAAACAAGCCAGACGACGACAACAGAAATGTCTCCTGACCCCGCCTCTCAAGTCCACAACCTCAGGGACCTTTTGGACTCCTGATTTTTCTCTTGCTGCCTATTCCAATGAAATTCTGAAGACTCTACTTTCAGGACATCACAACAAAATTTGACCTCTTCTTCCTTCTCCAGGGCTGCCACTCTGAATTCACCCACATTCATCTCTCACCTGGATTATTCTAGTAGCCTCCTAACTGATCCATCTGCCTCCACCCGCACTCTCTATTCTTGACCCTCCAGATGGGAGCCAGGGTAATTGGTTTAGCACAAGAGTCAGGCTGTGCCATCTCTCTGCTCAAAACCTACCAGTAGCTCTGCATTTCACTTAGAGGAGAAGTCTAGGTTCTGACAAGGCCTGCCAGACCCCACGTGAACTGACCCCCCACTACTTCCGCCTGCCTCTCTTACCATGTGCACAAGTATGCACCCCGTTCACGCAGCCGTGCTGGCCTCTTGCTGCTCCCTGAACACTCCAGGTGCATTCTGCCTCAGGGTCTTTGCACAGAGCTACTGCCTGTGCCTAGGGCTCTTCCTCCAGTTATTCTCATGAGTCACAGCCTCACCTCTTTCATGTCTTTGCTCAGACATCACATGCTTGTTCAGGCCTTCCCTGACTGTTACCTCTCCTTACTCACCTCTCTTCTCTTGCATTCTTTTGCTCCAAAGCTCTTACCACCTCAAAAAATTTATAAAATTTACTTCCTAAAGGCATGGAGTTTTTGTCTCTTTTGTTCATTGCTGCATCCTGGTACCCAGCACTATGCCTGGCAGACAGCGAGTGCTCAACAAATACAAGTTGGATGAATGAATGCTCTGCAGACCCATTCTGTCCCATAAGCAGTTCTCCAAGTTAAAATTTAGAGAGAAGTGGGCAAAAGAAGCCTATCTCTGGGCTCAGACCAGAGCTACATTGTGTCTGTCAACATATTTCAAAAGCCCATATTTTTGGGGTGACTGGGACTCTCTGTCCATAAACAAAGCTTCACATCTTCACCAGTTTCCTCAACATTTCTCTACCCTCCAACTATCTCTTTAAAGGTGAAAGGGGAGTAAGTGGAATAGTTAGAATCCTGAAACCAACAGGGCCCAATTGCCAACCCATTTGACATTTGCCTTGCGAAAGATTGCTGGTGATGTTAAGACTTATCTATTGTGCCGACAATATTAATTCAAATGTCTACTTCATAAGAACGGGTGTGTGTTAATAATTTTGCACTTAGAATTGCCAGGGATTATAGAACAATAAAGAGCATCTTTTTTATATGAAGAGTTGAGGGGTATAGCAATTTCAATAAAATATTTTTTGTGGCTGTGATTATGAAGCAATATTTTGGTTCTTTTCTTAAAAAGAGCTTTAAAATGTGTGATGTGGATAGGATGGTGTACAGTGAGCAAGCTGGAAAAACCTGATGAAATGGATAGACAGAACCGTAAGAAGGAAAATTTTTCAGAGAGAGAGAGAGAGGAAGAAGAACTTTGAGGAATGCTTTAAGCTCTGAAAAGTGGGTACCAAGGAGCTAAAAGAAAAGAATGGGTTCAGTAGAGCTTCTTCAGTCTAGTCTCATGGTAACCCCTGGGATACAGTACTGTGATAGTGCAGGGGAACTCCAGGCCAGCCACCACTGGACGGGACCTTTCCCCTGCCCCACCACCTCGCATTTGCCAGGGCCTGAAGCTCAGAATAGGGACATTGCGTTCTTGGAGCTACTGTCAGAAAGTCATTTCATGGCGCTGACTCAGGAAGGAGAGAGGTAAAGGTGCAAAGATCCTAGGAAGTGTTGAGATCTTTATGGACTCCTCCCAACGGCCTTATGAAGTGTGTACATGTGTCCATGTACTCAGTCGCTCAGTCGTATCTGACTCTTTGCGACCCCATGGAGTATAGCCCGCCAGGCTTCTCTGCCCATGGAATTTCCCAGGCAAGAATACTGGAGTGGGTTGCCATTTCCTGCTCCAGGGGATCTTCCCGACCCAGGGATCGAACCCACATCTCCTTCACCTCCCACAGCGGCAGGCAGATTCTTACCACTGCAGCATCCGGGAAGCCTGTAGAGAATGTACATTAGTGTCCTTATTGTATAAACGTGGAAACTGGGTCAGAGAGGAGGAGCTAACTATCCCATGAACACAAAGTGGAGCTGTGAGGATCGGAGCTGGGCTTCTGACCCCAGCTGTCTGACTCCAGAGCTGACGATTACAAGCACAGTCCCGGACCACTGCAGGACTCAGTCAGCACACCTGGCGTGCAGCAACTGCTCTCAGAGGATGAGTTACTGACAACACAGTGGAGCCTAACCAGGGGGGATGAGGCCAAGAGAAACCTGTGAAGCAGGAGAAGCAACGACAGTGACAGCAGTGAAGAGCAACAGAGCTCTTCCAGAAAGCCTGGGAGACCAAGGACACAGCAATGAGGATGAGGAGAAAGCAAGCAACCAGCTCAAAGAAAACCAAAGAAGAGAAGACGACACGAACACCACCGTGTGCTCCCAGGCAGCATTCTTAAGCAAGGCAGCAGGTCCTGGGGACAGAATCTGCAAAATGCAACGTATGATAATGTCTGGGCTCTCCATGGAACACCCCAAAGGGACTGACCTTCAGGAACAAGAGGACATGTCTGGGAATAGATGGAGGCAGCCCAGGCAAGGAATGCTGGCCTGTTCCCTGGCCGGGGATAGCTGTTTCAACCACACACATGGACATAGTCTATTTAGGGTGGTAAAGTTGTTGAAGATTTAATTTAGTCATTGAAATTGTGCCACTGAATTATTCCAAATGAATATCCTTTTATTTGAAGACTTCCTTATTTAATCTGATAGGAACTGAGAGATTGTTGCATACTCTTTGAACCATACCCAGGGAAAGATAAAGGGAAGAAGTTTCATCTTTAGATTAAAATGAAGAGCCTAAATGTAAAAACTACTTACAGTTATTTACCAATTCCCCAAACAAACCTTTCAAAGACCCTATACTGGAATAGTTGATTTAGAGCCAAAGCTTGTATCTGGGTGACTGCTGCATCCCAGGCTGGTACAAAGGCAAGGATGTCTATGCTATGAGGCTATCTGCCCCATCTCTACCAGTTGGTTCCACTGACAACCAGAATAAAGCCAAGAGGAGGAGAAGGACAGATGGACCCAGAGGTCCTGCTTCACGTGCACACTCACCTTTCAGGCAGCAGTAGGGGAAGCCTTCTCAAATCTCTGAGGACACTGGCCAAATTGTGTATTAATTACCCTGATCTTCAGCTGGCAAACTTTACTGTCCAAAAGAATCTCCTAGAGTGCTTATTTATTTATTATTTAGTAAGTGACTGATGTGGGCCATTTTTAAAATCTTTGTTGAATTTGTTACAACATCGCTTCTGATGTTCTTTTTTTCTCGGGGGGAGGAAGGCATATGGCACCTTAGCTCCCTGACCAGGGATCAAATATGCACTGAAAGGCGAAGTCTTAACTACTGGACACCAGGGAAGTCCCCAGAGTGCTTATATGAACAGGAGGATTCTGGTTCTTGGTTAGGTCTAGGGTTCAGGAACTATTATTTTTCACAATCACTCTTTAAAAAATTCTAGGTTAGGTTTTTCCCATGACAATTGGGAGTATCTGAATCTCCATTTTCAATCAAACGTTGCTTTGAAAATAACTAGGACTTGGCACACAGAAAGGCAGAGAAGACTCTGCTTATTATTCTCAAGAACATAATCACTTTGGTTTCCATTTACATCCTTGGTAAAGGAATTTATAAATTATATCCCAGGGGATCAATGTGAGGAAAAAGAAGAGGAGCTTTTATAATGTACGTGCACAGCTACTCCTTTTGCATGTAGATGGAAGGGCCATCTCCCTGCTGTAGAGAGGTCCGCCTGCGTCCGTACGAGAAGATAACAACTCGAGCTTCACTATATCTGCACACACAGCTATGTTTTACTGCAGGTGCCAAAGGGTGAGACGCGTTAGACCTCAAGTCCCAGCGCTGCCTCCAGCTTTACAAAATGAGATGATAATTCTGGTCCTATGTACTTGGTGGACTGCAGTGAAATCCAAATGCTATCATGTAGAGGAAAGGAAAAGGGAACTGGCTTAAAAGGAGGTAGTGTCACAAGACAGTGCTGCTTTTCCTTCTCATATTGGTCCCTGAGTTTCCCACTTTAAAGTGGAGGTCTTGGGAAAGAAGGACTATTTCTCTGAAGGGCATGCCGTGATTTCAGAAGAAACCACTGCAGAATGCCACGAGGGTTCGTTTCTTAATACAGGGGCCACATCCTTTGCTCAAGCTGTTGCGTGAAACTGGCTCAGACTCCGAGGTCCTGTTCATGAGGAGGGATTTCCAGGACGAGCCTTTAAAGGCCTGACACATCTTACGTGGTCAGCTCTGTATCGTGCTCTGGCAGGACGCGAATTATCTATGGAGCTCTGAGGGGGCAGGTCTGGCCCAAAGCACTCGGGAGTGGCAATTCTGATGCCCACTGAGATGATAATTTTCCCAAGTGAACTGGGCCAGAGGTCTTCCCAGTTACACCTTTTCAGGTTAACGCCCCATCTTCTTTCAGACTCTGTTTTTCCTTTATGTGTATTTTGTTGCATGTGGAAGAGCAATATGGGAGTAGAAAAAAAGGTTTTGGGCCAAATAATGCAGTATGGTTGGAAATGCTTTCCTTGTGCAGATTTGGCATAAAAATAAACTTCTCTGGGAGAGGGCTGTTGGTGCCTGTTGCTCATTAATATGCTGAAATGATTTCGCACCCCCCCCCCCATTTTGAAGGTTCCTTGAGGCAGATTTCTATTCATTTTTTTTTTCTTTCTGGGAAAAAGATAACATGGGTTTCGAGAGAGGTGTGAGAGGGCAGGATGTGGAACTTATGCAATATAGAACTTCTGAGAAATACTACCATTTGTGTGGTTCTCTTAGTTACATAAGGCTGAGGAGTTTGGATGTCTACGCTGCGGACTGGTGTCTTTTTAGGAGGAAAAAAAAAAGGTTTAGAGAAGACTTTCTTTTCAAGTACTATCAGATAACTATGACTTGTACTTAGCAAATGTGGACCTATAGGGCAGGCTTACCTGGACAGAGACACGATGCCTGCCAAGCACACACGACTGGTGAATCAGACACAGACACACACACACACACACTAGTCATAGGAGCACATGTAGGACTTCTTTTTCAGGATTTCTATTGAACATTCTAGGGTGGAATTAAAATTTGAGGTGGGCACAGCTACATCAAAGAAAAACGTACTACATTTTCATTTTGGTTTTATGAGGATCCCCTGAGTCAAAACAAAGCCCCGGACTGGAATTGGCACTTCTTCATTCAGGACAGAACCTCCAGGGGATGGTGAACTGTGGCTGTGGCACCCTAGTAACTTGGCTCAGTTAGTGTCCAACATGGAGGGAAGGGAGAGAGTTTTGTGGGTTCATGGCCTAGCAGGTGGGCAGGTACCTGGTTGGGGGTCCGTGTAATCCACGGTGTAGCCATCCAGTTGGAGAAGTTCCTGAGGCTCGGCTTTTTTCTCCCGGTAACTGCACATGGCAAACGTGTACTGACTCACCTGAAAGGGAGAAGCAGAGACGTGTGAGGTTGATTCCCTAGGGCCTGTCTTCCTTGAATAAACCTTCCCCTTTCAAGCCTGTCCTTTCCCCTGAGGCCCTGCACTCCGGAGCTGGGCTCAGATTGCATTTTTCCATATCCTGGCTGTGTGACTTGGAGCAAGTTAAGAGACTTCTCTGGTCCTGATACCTCACCTGTAGATGGATATAATCTGAGAAACTACTTTGTCGCTGGCTTATTATGTAGACTGAATGAGTTCATATGTGAAATGCATTTCAAATCTTTCCTTGATGCTTAGGAAGTGCTTGAGAAAAGTTAGCTATTATCATTACTGCTATATTTTAATTGGCTAAGCTACATGAAATTCACATTTGGGGAGGTCAAAACTGGTTGCATAGCAGCAATTTTATAGCTTTTACCTACTATGACTTTGGCCCTGGCTCTGGCTGAGGCTGTCATGCTCTCAGACTCGACACAGGTCTTTCAGTCGTAAGTTAGGGACTAGTTTCTTATTTACACCCACCTCCATTTCTTTTAGTATTTTACGTTTTGCAGGTCAATTCTCTGCACTGAGCCACTCTCATTTCTTCCTTGCCCTTCCCACAGAAGGAGTGCCTTTGGTCGCTTTGAAAAGTCTTCCCTTCATCTCAGACAAGTGCAGGAGTGACATGCTGTCAGAAGCAATGAGTGCTTGATCTCTAGGCGCCAGTCACAGGAGAGCCACCCTCAGCCCCTGTCCCTCACCAGCCTCCGCCCACGTCAGTGCTGGGTGCATGCTCCACTGCTGCAGGCCGGCCTTCAGGATCCTGTCGCCACAGTGCATCCAGACCCAGCATGGATACTGAGCATTTCTACATCCAGCCTGTCTGCAAGGAGCCCAAGGAAGAGCAAGCATCCTTCAGGCTTCAGGCTAAAAGCTCAGGGGCATATTTGCCATCCACGGATGTCAAATGTCTTGGAGGAGTGCCACATCCCTCATCTCTTAGTTCTCTTTATTAAAACAGACATTTACTAAGTGAACTTTGATCCCGGCAGGGGATATTTTTTTTATCTCCTCCATGGGTCAGATTTGTCCTTTTTTTAAATGGTAAGAAATTAGAGCTCTCAAACCCTGCGTATATCTCCCACCAGTCCCTGGCCTGAAGGTCCCAGCGGTAAGATAACAGGAGTCCTCAGGAGAATGTTTCATTGGTTGGTTTATCTCTTGCTGCCCTCTGTTGGTTTCCGATGAAAACTTTCTGCCTGACTTGGACTTCTTTACTGTGCTTATAGTTTACAGAATCTGTTCCTTATACTGCAGGGTCTTGATGGGCTTCAAGGGAAACATAAAGCCACTAAGAGTATGTTCCTAAGTGGACATGTATTATGCTTTGCATTAAGCATCTTCTTCTAAAAAGGAGGATTCAGAATGGAAGCTTTGCATAGGGGTCACACAGGCCTGGGACCTCATCCCAGCTCTCCTAAGTTCTCATACATGTAACTCAGAGTCTTTATCTGTATTTTACCTGTCTTATTGTGGCCGAAGAATAAATTGAGTGGTGAAGGGTTTTTTTACATTGTGTGTGATATTCACCTGGCAAATACTCAATATATGCATTTATGCAAGCAGTTTCCTTGCATTTGGCACTACTTTCTCCTACAAAGTAGCTGAGCAGGTATATCTGCCTACCAGATTATAAGTCCTTTCAAGGCATGCCTAGAGAATCATACATCTTCATTATATTCCCCTTGCCATGAGCAAAATCTACGATGAGATGGGCATTCACTAATTGAGTTTGATTGACTCCTGAAAAATGAGTATTATCATCCAATAGAGAGGCTTCCCCCCTCCCAGATTTACATATGTTACTCTAGTCCATTACTGATCCCAGAGACAACTGATTCTCCATACCCAAGAGTAAACAGACATTGCTGAAATTGCTCTGCAATGATATTCTTTACCTCTCTGGTACCCTGGACATTTTATAGCACGTTAATGTGCTGATCAGGCAGACAGAGGGTTGGGGACGTTTATCTGAGATCGGTGAAACAGCACAACACAAAGGTGCTACCTCAAGGTTCGGGCACTTACTATTACTACAGCTTGGGGCTTTCTGACTTCTTCTACTTAGAGCCTTGCTTCTTGGAGAGCTGTACGCTGCTGCCCCCTTCTGGTAATACTGTCGAAGTTGTTCCAGACAAATTTTGGGCGCAAAGAAACTGGCTTATCAGGACCATTTTAATAAGGAATTTGGCAACTTACTTTAGGGAGAAAAAAAAAAAGGTGGAACGAAGGAATGATTTACTTTTGAATATTTCTAATTATTGCAAGGAACCTCAGATTTTCTAGAGCTCTTCAAGTGTGAGGGAACAGCAAGTGTTTGGGACTTGCTAAACTGTTGTAAAAGGAGGCAAAAGGAGACGGGAACAGTAGAGGATGAGACGGTTAGATGGGCATCAGTGACACAATGGACATGAATTTGAGCAAACTCTGGGAGATAGTGGAGGACAGGGAAGCCTGGCATGCTACAATCCATGGAGACGGAAAGCGTCGGACATAACTCAGCGACTGAACAACCATGAAGTCTTGCAATCCCTGACCTGCCGGAGTTTGCTGCATGCAGAGGCTCCTCGAGAATGAAGCCAGTTTAGGGGAAAGCATGGTCAAGAGGCTCTAGAAGCAATGACGCTGCTCCAAAATCAGTGCATGGATGGATGAATGGATGATACATGAATAGGTAAGAGATTTGTAATTAAAAAAAGATTTGTAATGGAATAAGTGCAGTAAAATGCTAATGGAAGAATTTAATCGGTGCTTTTAGAGGTTTTCACTGTAAAATTCTTTCAATTTCTCTGTACGTTTGAAAATGTTCTTGATAAAATAGTAGGGATAAATTAAAAGATAACAGGAAAAAAGCAAAGAAATGGTTCAGATAGAGAGACTGAGTCTTGGTGACTTTGTTTAAGCTCTGGACCCAGCTATGCCAGAAAAACTCCAGCTAGTTAGTAATTTAATAACTAACCAATATAATTCTTCTAAAACTTGAGCTAATTCAGGTTGATGATTGTTGTTCACAGAATATAAATATAAACGTCTTTCAGGGCGCTTGTGAAGTTGAGTGGGAAGAATGAACATTCATTCAGCAATAAATCATTCACATACTCCATGTCTTACAATTCACTTTCATGGTTAACTTAATATTGATTTCTGGATGGTAACGATTGTGTTATGAGGTGTTTTACATTATCAGGCAATATGCTAGCTTATTCAGATCTAGATTTTTAGAAAGTTGGAATGGTCAGAATTTAGGGACATTATATTATTCCTATATTTTCTCAGGGCTTCCCTGGTGGCTCAGGTAGCAAAGAATCTGCCTGCGATGCAGGAGACCTGGATTCGATCCCGGGGTCGGGAAGATCCCCTGGATAAGGAAATGGCAACCCACTTCACTATTTTTGCCTGGGAAATCCCATGGACAGAGGGGCCTGGCAGGCTAAGTCCATGGGGTTGTAAACAGTCAGACACAATTGAGCGACTAAAACTTCCACTTCACTTTCATATCATCTCTAGGGAATCAGAGACAAGGTATTATTTCGGGACTACATTGGCTCTAACTGATGCAAGGGACAGAGCTATGGGCCGCTGTATCTGCAGAGTTTCCTCTGAGAGTGTGGCATCATGGAAGACACCTGCCATCAGAAGGCCCATGTGAGGCCGCACACTGGCTGTCTATGAGCTGCTGCTCCCGGCGGGTCATGTTAGCAGCCTCAGCTCCTGTCTCCTCCCATGTGGAACGTGGGTGGTGGTGGGGCTAAGATGGGTCCTCACTGCAGTACAGAAATATTGTGAAGGCCAGCTTGATGAACACCTTGTAAACTCCGAGAGGCCGTAAAATAGAATTATTAGCATTATTAGAGAAATCATAGAAAGGTGCTAAAAGGGGACAAGTATCTCAGAAATAATTTGGCTGAAGACCAGTTAAAAACTGATTTTAACAAGAGATCACTGGGGCATGGAAGAAAAATATTTTAAAATAAGAAGATGCTAGAGGTGAGGCTTTCTAATCTGATATGGATGAGGAAATGGCTGCGTCCACTCCTCCCCTTCCAACCCAAGATGGGAAGCTCAAAATTGGAGCTAATCTTCATCTTTAGCAGCGGTCTGGTCACAGTTCCTGACAATGGTAATCAACGTGCTTGGTCCTGACCATGGGCCAGGCAGTGACTCTGATGCTCATTTTCTTGGAGAACATACACTCTGAGAGAGCACAGTCTACAAGGAATGAGAGGCTTGGTTTAACAGGGACAATGACTTTTGAGCAGTGTTTCTTCACAGGTGGTCTCTGGACACCCTGCGCCAGCACCTCCTGGGCTGCATGTCAAGGACACAGGTTCCTGAGCTCCCTCTCAAGAGTCTTCTCTGTGTCAGAGGCTTCTGCATGCCTCCCGAATCTGCATTTTAAACAACACGCAGTCCAGGCAGTCCAGGTCCGTAACCGGAAAACACGGTGGAGCAACACTGAAGTCGCTGTCACAGAAGCCCCCTGCAACGGCTTCATTCCCATCAGGGCTGGGGGTGCAGGCTCCAGTCACACTCACCATCATTTCAGCCTTGATCCTCAAACATGGGAGCTGCTGCTTTGGCTCAACACTCCTCAAAGGGTGGCCTCTGTCCCTGGTTAGTAGGAAGTCCATTTATAAGCTATTTTTGTGTTCCCAAGGTAGTAGCTTAGCTCTAAAAGGAAATCTCACTAAGACAGAATGCAAAAATTCTGCATTATGGACAAAAAAGGAGACCACGTGCGTGTATGTGTGTGAGAGAGAGAGAGAGACAGACAGACAGACAGCTGGGGTGGGAGAGGAGATGGACTCTGAGGAGACTGGTGTTGGATGTGTTCTCTCTTTAGGCTTTCCAAACAATTTTCCTTGTATTACATCTAATGGAACTCACGATCCTGTTGGAAATTATGCATCACCAATTCCTGACAATGGTAATCAACGTGCTTGGTCCTGACCATGGGC